TGCCTTCTGAACATACATACTAATCTGTGAACTTTAAGCATAATCACAAAGGGCTTAATGAAGTTTTTCCATGTGAATTTTTAAGCATCTGATATTGTATCATTAAAAAGGGAACAAAAGTATCATATTAATTTACTCTTAGTAGACATAAATTATGATTTTGATATCATTCTTGCCCACGTTTTTCTGCTGTTACTAAGCCTGCTTAGTAACTTTGTAATTTGAGTGGCTGTCCTGCTTTGTCCTATCTTAACCTGCCTTACTTTCCTAGGATCTGACTGTGCTATATTTTTAAAATGTAGTTTTGACTGTATTAGGGGTTATTGGCTAGTAGGGGAAAAAAAAGGACATTGCCAGTTTCTTGAAACAAATTATGATCAGGCCCTTTGTCCTTCAAAGTGCACAGTGTTGAATTAGTTCTGTTTTACATTCTTAGATCGTATGTAGTTAGTCAGATAAAAGGTCCATCTACTCCAGGATCCTTTGGTCAAAACCTATACTGAGGAAGAGGAACAGGGTAAGAATATAGTGATACTTCCTCCAGGTATCATTCCAATAATCCTTGATTTAGGGATTTCCTGATGCTGAAGTTGTATTTTTGAGCTTGCTAGCCCTAGGGAATCTTCTTGCAGTGAATCAGTGATACTGTTTTTTCTGTACCTGTTTAGGGTTTGTACTGACAGTGCTGTTTGGCAGAAAACTCCACAGCCCAAATTGCGTGGAAAAATATTTTGGTCTGTATCATGCACCTGATAATCTCATTGTATTGCCCTGACTTTTATATACATTATGAAAAACTGAGTATTTGTACATATTGAAGAAGACTGAGGAGTATGTATTTGTGTATAAGCACTTTTAGAATCTGGAAACAAACATACAAAGTAAAATTGTTGTTGCAATTAAATGAAACCCTTGTGCAATATAAACAGAAAGAATAATGTGAAGTAGACTTCCCGTCTTTGGATTGTCCAGGTCTCTTGTGTTGGTACAATTTTCTGCTACATAGATACTATTTATACTATTTATGAAGCCAAGTAAGACACTGCTGAGTTTATGTATTTACTTATAAAAATGACAAATCATAGGGAGAGTTCTACCGGATTAGGTTAATTTTGCAGATATTTAGCAGACAAATACACACTCTCCCACAACCTGGACAGCTGACAGTTGATGATTTCCTTAGAAATAAAACATATATTGCTTGTCTAACAGTGGAAAATAGCTGATTTTTAGATATATGAAATGTAATATGCCAAAATCCTCAGCTGACACGAATCAGTGAAGCTGTTGTGTCTCAAATACTGCTTGGTTGTAACTTTTGGATTATTCGGTATATACATTTATGAATAACATACTTCTCAACATATGCATACTTTGGTCAGTGTTTGGTAATAGAAATGGTTTGAGTGATGAGTATTTTATTGACTTAGGAAAATATTTTCCGTGATCATTATTAATATATTTACTTCTTTGCTGAATTTACTTTCCTTTCTATTAAAAATTCTAAAGGCTAGTGATGTGTACCGTAAGTCTTTTCCATGCTATTTATTGCAATCTCTCAGACACATATTTGAGGTAGGAATAACATTTTTAATGAGTAAATGTATAAAACCACATAATGGAATTCTTACTTAACACAGGCAAAAAATTGGAGATACAGTACATGGGCTATAAGCCAGGCCACTACTTGAATATCTTCCCTTATAAGAACTTCAGCTTTAGTATGTGTGATTTTCCAAGCCTCAGTGACAAGATGACAGACATTTGCAGCTCTTAATTATTTGTAAACTGTATTAATGATACATAGAAAGTGCAGTTATTAGAAAATAATTAAAGAATAACAGTCCATCTGTATTACTGCAGTTTGTAAACAAGACATTCAAATAGAAGAGTTTCTGAGATTCTGTTTTAAATTTGGTGACCACATATACTTATGTTCTTGTGTATTATATTTCAGGTTCTTTTTATGCTTTTTTTTTCAGTGCAGTTTAAGGGAAATAACAGTTCCCTTCATAATAATAATGTCATAATAATCAGATTAATCAGATTTAACATGATATAATTTTGATAGTGGTCCAGAAGAACAAAAAAGGTGGGATATTAACTGATTATAGATGGATGTGCTATACACTGCAATACAGACGGAGTACTTTAGTATGTTTATTATGGATGATTCAAAGACTTACCTTCAAAAACAAACAACAAGAAAATAAAATCATTGCAATATATTATGCCTATTCAAATAACATATATTTGCTTCGTATCTATGCACTTCCACTAGCCCAGTGGAAGAAGAAAATGTGCAAAGTAGCCTTAAGTGAGCTATTTGAAATGATATTACATTGTTTCATACAGTTACAGTTTAACTACAATGAATACCCTGTTAATTGATATTAATATATTCATTATTATTCTCTCTGCTGGCAAATATGAAATATTGACAAACTTCATTGTTAATGTGAAGTTTGCAATGAAGATGTCCACCAATAAAACCAGCTATCTGTAAGGGTTCAAGATGTGTTGATATAAGATCATATTCAGATTGTCAACATAATCAAGATTGCAATATAAGAAAGAAATTCTTGTAGGATAAGATCGGGGGTCAATTAAGCTATGTCTTCAGCATATTGCATATAGGGGGTTCAATACTCCCTCACAGAGAGCCTTATGCTTCACTGGGGCTCAGAGCAGAAGTGGATAGGAAGTAGGAAAGGGATGGGTCCCTGCAGGTATGGTAGACTGCTAAGACACATGGTTTAGAATTAAACCCATCCAGGGTTGATGACTGCTACAAGACAAGTACACTGTCTAAAACTTCCAGATAGAATGCTAACTAATACATTAGTGCTGTGTTAGCCTTTCATAGAGTGGAAAATTTAATGACTTGGAATGTAAAAAACATGTCATGACTCACCCACACAACTAATTTTGAATACATTTCTAACTCCATCCCCTTAGAATGTATGGAAATCATGATTATTTTCATCAGGCATTTTTATGTTGACCATAAAGAGTCTGTATTTGTGAGGTGCTAACTTACATTATCATGCTCACTGTCAATGAGCAGCTGACGAGGCTGCTGATTGTCTTACATGAATCACTTTGACTCCTTTGAAGCAACAGAACATCATTAAAAGAAATTGTTACTGCAGAGTTAAACGTCATCATTCTTTCACTTCTGCAATGAGTGGTTTTGCAAACCTTACCTAAAATGTACTTCAGAATGGCAGTAAATGCAAAATTAATTTGAAGAGGGCAGTAGATATTGCCCAGATTTTTCAGCCATATTAATTTAAACTCAATTCTAAAGACTAACACTCTTCCCTCTCCCAAAAGAAGAACAAGAGATTCATTTCTTAAAATTATTGCTATATTTAGCAGGTCATAACATCACCAACATGCATATTTCTGTGATTTAGATTTAGTACAAATATTTCAAAATATCAGATCTGAAAAATGCATTCCAGTTTTATTAGAGGCCTATTCAATAAAATATATACCTTTGGTATAATATGTTTTATTGCATATAGCAAACCATTTTCATTATCATCAAAAATATATTTTAGCACTTGTGAATTACAGGGGACTTTAATTCCTTGGATAACCCACAATATTTGATACAGTATCTTGAACTGGCTCATAAATATGTATCAATGATAAACATATACATTTTCTGTTTGAAATGGCAAGTGAAAAATCTTTGCAAATTCTAAGTTTACTAAAGATTAAGCTACTTAAACTATTTTATACTACTTTATTAGATGTATCATAAGACATTATTTTCACTGAAAATATGCTTTAAATAAGGCAAGTTTTGTAAGAATTTAAATAGTGTTTTTTCTTACATGAAAAACTTTTTATAAGGTAGTCATGCCTCCCTTGCTATTCTGCAGTCACTACACACAAAGCAATAAAATTACAGAGCTAAGAATCCTTCAAGGATGAAATCACAGTGAAGAAAGCTGTGATATACTTTATGCTGTTAACCATGTTGTATCATATCACATCATATCATGACACCACAATAAAAGAGAACTGGTTATTTACACAGTGGTTCTGACTGGCAAATGTAAACAAAGATGAGTCAAGCACCTTGGCAATGCATTGACTGGCTAGTTTGTCTCCAGGGTTTTACAATGTTTATTAGTTCTGCTGTCAATTTGACATGAGGCACCCATTTTTAAGGTAAGAAACTGGTCAACTGACCAAGTGTCAGTAGGGTTTTCAAGTAAGTATGAATCTGTTCCCTTTTAGTTCATTATTAAGTCAAGGGTACACTAATCTATAATCCAAGAAAGATGAAATGCTCTTAAAAAATCATATGACATAGAGTGACTGTTGGTTTCTAAGACATATAAACTCAAGAAAATCTCCAGTATAGCAAGTAGTAATTTCAATGAACTGGTAAAGTCCACATTTTAATACAAACCAACAGAAATCTGATGGCTATGCAGAAACTCTTAGTCCAGTTGAAACAACTGGAATTGATTTGGGAAAGCTCAAGTGTACTTGAACATCAGTGTAGGTATGAATACTTGAGTATTAAAAGGTATGACAGTTGGAACATCTTTCCAGAACTAAATGCTCCTTCTTTTTAAGTTCAGTTTGAAGGTGAACATTATTGTAAATTGCTTTTCTCCACCAGAGGACTTCATTATAAACAGAGATTCATTCTTGCAGGCGACAGCCTGTCTAGCTATTCTTTCTCACTTCACAGTGCTTCCCCTCACTGCAGACGTGCCTGCTTTCTGTGGAAAGACCATGTAGCCGGTCTTGTCCTGAGAGTCACATGTTCCTCCTTGTACCAGGGTCATAAGTAGTATCTTCTCTTTTCTATTATTTAAAGGTGTCTAATTGTTCTAGGTTATTACACTATGTTCACCACTGTGGTAAACACCTAATTATTATTTTGAAAAGCTTATCTGTAGCAGATTACAAAATAACCTATAGTTATAGAAATAATGGTTCCTTCCTCACTTATGTTTCTTGGAGGTGCTTCCCCAGAAACATCTCTGCAGCACTTCCTGATTTGGTGAATTACTGTCTCTTCAGAAAGAATGGTAGTTTATATTTCTCTTCCCAACCCTCCTACACGTATTTTCATGCCCAAATGGCTTGAGCTGATGATTCATGGCTCTTTTCTTTTCTTGCTGTCTATCCTCCTGCCCTTGTAGCTTTGAAGATAACCAGTCACATACATTTCTCCTCCTAAAAGCTATTTTAAAATTGAGAAGTCAGTTGAGAATGCCATTCCTAGGAGGGCTGGTGAGATTTAATCTCTAAAAAATCAATAATTGTGTCCATGTTAGGAGCAAAGCAATATAGGCAGAGATATTTATCAAAAATCCTAATGAATTTTCAATTACCTTGATTTCTCACTTCATATTTCCTAATGTATTTCATAAAGGTCTGTTTTAATCTTTTAAAAGAAGTTCTCAGAGGCTTTAGAATCAGGACCATAAGCTGGCCAGAAAAAGCAGGCTGAAAGTGGTAGGAATAGTTTTGTGACTTCTTTTATTGAGCCTGGCAACGTGGATACTTGCTTCAATTTCTTTCTAATTGTTTATCTCCATTTAAAAAAAAAAATAAATTCCATACATAATTTTGTAATTCCCTCAAGGATATCTTGTGTTATACGACAGATATAAGATTGTATAATAGGATCTGTATGTCAAGGGTCTGTAACTTGAGTTCCCAAATACCATCCAAGGAATTTGATCAAACTGCTTTCAGTGTAGAAGAGATATTTCACTATAATATTAAACAGTAGGTCTAATAAAACACATGCTTTATTTGGATGCTGTTGAGCGACAATAATGATTCCCATTTTCAGACAGAGTCCACCTTCACTTGATTGTTGTTTGTAATCAGTGGAGAAGGTTTACTTTTCATCCTGTCTCCTGCATCATTAGAACTATCTTGGTAAAAAACTTTTGCTGTACAAAGAGTGACAATAATTCTCTTGTATTCTCTTCTGAAGTTCTGGTTCAGGAGTCCATATATGATAGCATTAAGGCAGCTGTTGAAATATGCCATGTAATAACTAGATACAAACAACCATTCTGGAATCCTAGGGATTATAGTTTCTGGGTTGACAGCCACGGCAAGGCCTATAAAATTCAAAGGAGCCCAGCAGACTGCAAACAGTACAAATACCACAAACATGGTTACAAAGTTTCTGAAGTCATGTGGTTTCAGCCTGGGGTTATTATCTGGTTTAACCCTTCGCCTTACCTGAATAACAAGGATCCATATTCTCAAGTAACAGAAAGTAACTATGGCTATGGGCAGCAGGAAATGGAAAAAGACAACGGCTATTGTATATGCTGAGCTCACGGATTGTGCAAATGTACACGAGTAAATCCTGGGGTCATACTGTAGCGATCCCACAAACAGGTTGGGCACGATAGCAACAACCGTTAGAATCCAGATAAGAACAACGTAGCACAATGAATTCTTGTCGCTGTACAGCTTGTCGTATTTAAGACTGTGGCAAATATAGCAGTACCGATTGATAGCGATGCCTGTAATATTGAAGATTGATCCAATGACACTTAGGCCCATCAGGAAGCCACTAATCTGGCAATGCAGGTATCCCAGATTCCAGCCATTGTGAAATACAGATGTGAGGACCAGTGGATATGGGTAGATTGCTACAACCAAGTCTGCAACTGCCAGGCTTACTACAAACACATTTCCTGTAAAATAAATATAAAAAAGGCAAGTATTAGTTTTTCTTTTGATCTCTTCTGTTGCTTCTGCTCACAATACATTAATGAGCAGCCCTAGTGGAACACTATAAATGTAATTATTTTCTACTTTCTACATCAAAATTCATTGCTGTATATCAGAAATAAGACACTTATTTTTAATCTAAAAAGGAAGTAGCTTAACCTAAAGATGCACCTTTTAAAAGAAAACTGTCTTTGAGTTTAATTACCATGACCTAATATTTTTGTCATCTCATTTATTTGGATTCTTCCAATTACACAGAGTCAGAATTCATATCACATTAAAATATTAATAACTTTAAGATTTCCTTTGATTTTAAATAGGTAGTCTCTCTTGAAAAATCAGCAGAAATAATATGATTACTAATAAATTTCAAATCTCACATTTACCTTTCATGTTTAATTCCATTCCCTTTCCTTACATTACCCCATCACTTTTTGTCCTGAAACGATTCCCCCCCTTCCATGGCTTTAACGTGACTTTTAAAGTGACTCCTTTTGAATTTTCTGGCTAGCACTTAACTAAACTTCTAAGAGTCTAGCTGAACACAAATTTGTCTTTCCTAAATTGAAACACATAATCTTCAGTAAAAGAAGTGCTGATGGGCAGTGACCTAGGCAGTTTCCAGACACTATTGAAGCCACATTCTCTTCTTCCTCCAAACTGGAAAATTAAGCAATGATCCATTCTCTTGGTTAATTTTTTTAATTAAAAAAAGAGAGAGATTATTTTAGACTGTGTTAGTTTTTGATAGAACCCCTCTCTGTTCTTCAAAGACAATGGAACCCATCATAACTGTTTTAAATTAGCCTTTTGAGCATAGATTACATTTTTTTAGTTGCTTAAATAATGCATCTGAACACCTCCCAGTCATTCTAGCTTCTAATAAGGTGATCACAAAATACATTGATAAAGCTTTTATTCTTTTTTAAAAAATAACTACTACATGTATTGGTCTAGTTATTCATGTCCATATCTACAGAAAGCTATAAATATGTATATATACCTGCATGTGTGCATGTATATAAATGCACGTATATGCATGTATACATAGGTATGTGTGTTTGAGATTATATCTTGGAATTCTGAGATTTTTCACTGAAGATGAAATATGAGCTCCTATTGCAACCTGTAAGAAAATATACTTCTAGGTTTAGACGATGTAGAATTTCATTATTAACCCAAAGTGGGCTTGGTGAACTCTTTCATGCATTTATTTTGAAAAGACAAAATCCAAATAGATAAAAATAGCTTAAAAGAAAAGGTAAAAGTATCTATGGACAAACAGGGTATTTTAGCTGCTATAATTCTCAAAACTATTTTTTTAATATATAATCTCCAACATCTTAAAATGCATATTCTCTCACTAAGCTTATACTTTAAATGACCAGGTAGAAATATAAAATCTGCAAACACCTTCAGAGAAAATAATAGAAATTATCTGGCTCAGGATGCTACTTATCCTCTTTTGTTTAAATTTTAATACATGCACAAAGTACCACATTTGATATTTATACTAATGGCAGCTGGGACAAATGGCCTCAGTTAAAAGATTGCTACACTTCAAAACATCTGTAGTTGTTTCTTCTTTTGACTAGGAATTCACTGTCAGACTCAAATATGCTTATCCTGAAGGCTTTGGCAGAATTCCAGATCATTTCAGCACAAACAGCAGAGCTCCTTTAAGCAGAAGACAAGGGAAAAAACCACTGCTTTCACAATTTACCCTTAACATAGTGGCAAGTGATACAAGAATGGAAAAAGAGACTATATGAAACTCAGAGCTCGGTGTCTATCTTAAGAAGTGGAAAATGTATGAAAAGTTGCTGTTGGCAGGGGTTTTTCTCCACCCAGAATATTGCAGGCTTGATGAAATGGCACCATGTAAACTCCAGATGGGACACAGAACCAGGACACTTATTTAAATGTAATAATTAAAAGAATCCTATTTGCACTTGCTTATAAATATTCTGCTTAGTTAGAGACTGTGCATCCCAAGCTTCTCTCTCTGATAACCGCTGAAACTTCTGTTGGTGCTCTCCATTGATATTGCTAATATTATCATTACTAACCCACTTGAGCCACAAGATTCAGGTATAAAAACAAAGATAAAAGTGTGTGGGTTTTTTCCCTTCGTTGAAAAAAGACAGGTAGTATACTTTCCTCTGAATAGTTTTAGCAGCCCTGTGCTTTGGAAACAACTGGGTCTAGGAAGAGTAGGTGCTCTGTCCCTGAATCAGCCAGATTTCAAGCTTTCATAAACAGGTGCAATATGGTTGTCCCAGCTCAACTTCTCAGTTGGTTGTTGTAGAGTGACAAACTAAAAGTCTTGGAAACACCAGCTGTTTCATATGGAAATTGGAGGCTAGCAGGATATCCTGGGAACCTGTCTTTCTAAAAAAATCATGAGCTTGGAAATCAATTCCCAGGCTGCCAGCTCATGGTTAGCATGTCAGCTAGATGACCTAAGCATTGGGCTAGAAACTGCCTGGAAACCAGATACCTGCTTGCAGAGAGGACTTTTTAACCTGCCTTTCAGGAAGGGTTATCTTCAAACTTGAGTTCACATACATTTTCCTAGCGAGCACAGAAATGTTGTCATTAAATTAGAATAGACAATTCAAGTGAAAATTTGGGATTAGCATGTTTGTTGTATATTTTGAGGTTCATTGTTCCGGACTCTGAAGTTGGATCTGAAATGATGTTGAGCTTTCATGTGTTATATAAAATACAATTTAAAAGTATGATCCTAGACTTAGGCATCCACCATTACTAGAAAATTATGATATTTTATGAAATTCCCATATATTTAATGACATATTATGAAATTAAACTTTTATGTTTGTTGAACACTTGGTATTGTAAAGGTAAGTACCATAAGAAAGGATATCCAACAACGCTGTAACCCTGTCACAGAAGGCCACCAAATTCATCAGGCATGATTTGCCCTTAGTGAAGCCACATTGGCTGTTACCATGTGCCCTAACATAGTTTCCATGATCTTGCTGGGCACAGAGATAAAACTGACTGGCCTGTAGTTGCCTGGGTGTTCTTTTTTTCCTTTTTTAAAAATGGGAGTTATGTTTCCCCTTTTCCAGTCAGTGGGAACTTCACCGGACTGCCATGACTTCTCAAATATGACAGATAGTGGCTCAGCAATTTCATCTACCGGTTCCCTCAGGACCTGTGGATGCATCTTATCAGGTGCCATGGACTTGTGCACCTTCAGGTTCCTTTGATGGTCTCAAACCTGAGCTTCTACTATAACAGATGGTTCTTCATTCTCCCAGTCCCTGCCTTTGCCTTCTGTGTCTTGGGCAGTGTGGCTGAAGCCCTTGCCGGTGAAGGCTGAGGCAAAAAAGTTGTTGAACACCTCAGTCTTCTCCAAATACTGGGTAATGAGGTCTCCTGTTTCCTTCTAGAGTGGGCCCCATTTTCCCTAGTCTTCCTTTGTAATGTAATGTACCTACAGAAGCTTTTCTTGCTATGCCCTTGACATCCTTGGCCAGATTTAATTCTGTCAGGGCTTTGGCCTTCCTAACCTGACCCCTGGCTACTCGGACAAGCCTTCCTGCTCAGCAGACACATAGCAACATCAGACCTACCTGCTGAACAAAAAACTTCATTAAATCAACAGAAAACAAACAAGTGCTTTCCTAGAAAATCTGACTTTTCCAAGAGCAAAAGACAAAATAAACTGAGTGTACAAACTATGACTCTGTCAGATTATTTAAAAAAAATGCTTATGAGACATAAATATCATGATGTTAAAATGAATTCAAGAGCATCAAATAAGAACTACATGATATAGTTGTATCAGTAGCCACTTGTATCTGCATAATATATACAAATCACTGTGTGGGTTGTTATTCCCTGGATTTACTGCTAAGTATGTCCTGAATTTAATGGGAATTAGAAACTTACCAGAAATTTCTAGCAAGCTAAAGAAGTGCAGAATATTAATGGAAAAAAATTAGTTACTTAGTCTGTGATGCTGAATGTCTCCCATAAGCTTAGACGGGAGGGCTGAGAACTTTGCCAGCAAATCAAAAAGGCCTAATTCTTTCTGCTGTTTTAGAACTGAGGGAGATGTGGTCTACAGAGCACTTTTCTCAAGTGCTGAGAATGAAGTATTTTAACTCTTTCAAAACTTTTAGCCTAGGAAAAAAAAATAGATTGTAAAAAAGGGAAACAGTTTATCTATGGAACAAAATACCAATGTTTTAAAGCATTAGGGACTCCAGCTTGAATCTTGGTACTAAGGAAATCTGAATGAATTTTAGAGATCTTCTTTTGCTGGCAAGATTGGTAAGACTACTATTTCTCCTCCTTTTTTTCTAAGATATTTCTGTTGCTAGGTCACTATTTAAACTCACTTATTTCAAAATATTTCCTGTGTAAATAATGTATTGGCTTCTTATAATAAAGGTTTCCAGATGCCATCATGTTTTCATCACATTGCTACATTTTGAAGTATATAACATTACATTTCCTACTTATGCATTAGTGCTTCAGACTGCACCAAATTTAGCTACGAGGGATTTAAAGTCTTTGTGCTAACTGGAGATGCTTGTGCTTTTAAGTAAGACTAGACAGTACATGCAGCTATCATTGAAGTCACATATGAAGCTTTTGTTTCAGTGGCCATTGAGTCAGACCTTGGATGTTTACTTCTTAAGTATATCTTTAAGGAAAGAGGATAGTGTAAACATTTGCAATGTTTGAACAGTTACAAGATCAAACTTATCTTCAAACTACCAGGTCCATGCCATTCTGATTTACAGTCTTTTTATCACCTGTCAGATATTGCCAGATATACTAACAGTCATTTCTGATTATTTCTTAACTAGGTTTAATTAACAGGATGCTTTGCTATAAATTTAGACCAGGTTTTCTAGAAGTTATGATGTATTCAAATATCATTTCCATGATTTTTATGTCCACAGTTTTCATGTATTTAATGGCA